GGGGGGGGGAGGGAATGCTTGGCAGGGAGATGGGGAGACGAGACTAGCAGCGAAGAGAGAAAAATTCCAATAGCTAAATATATAAACTTCAGAAAGTTGCATGCTATAAACACGACAAGGAAAAGATTCTTGGCTCCAAACTATAGTTCTATTTACAAAACTCGTTTCAAGAGAACAAGCTGTGCATGACACTTAGGAAAAAAAAAAAAAAGAAAAACCAACAACCAACCAAACAGTTGTTTTTAAGCTGTACCTTGAGAGAAGCAGCACCCTTCCAGCCTTCCAAGCTGAAGGGGAAATGTAAAATGGCAGGCTCAGGCTGTCCATACCAAGAATGGCCAACTGGAGATGGCACTGGCAGAGTGCCGGGTGCTCTTGGCCTGTCCCCGGGGAGGTGATTCTCGGTATCTCCCCTGAAGGTTACAGATGCCTCTGAAGTGCCCCGTCTTGTTAACAGGACCTTTCCTTAGTCTGAGGGAGTATTTCATCCCCAGCCCTGGAGCTTGCTCAGTTCATGCTATATTAAGCATTTATGCAACCCTCAGTGGGCTTTTAGTCTCAGGCTCACCAGGCTCAAACTAGATTTGCTTTAAGGATTTTTGGGGTTTTTTTCTTCAGCCCCATAGGAGCGCAACGCGGTGAGCTGCAGCAGAGCCTGTATTTCTGGAAGAGAACGAGAGTTGATGAGTTGCCTTGTACCAAATCTGTGCCCGTGCACATTTTGACAGCTTGCTTCAGCACAACAGGCCAGACAGTTCATATCAGATTGATGAATGAATCAATTTTTGTCTACTGCAAGGAGAAATTGGAATGATCTAGAGTTGCCCTTCACACCCCAGGTCTTCCCTGCCCTGTGTCTGATCCTCGGTAACTAGCAGCAGGTATTTGGGTGGGAAAAGTGCCTGGCTGACCTTTCTGACCTTGAGAAAACAGCCTCCTCCGTGTTTTATAGCTACTAATAAACCTACTGTACATGAGCTTGTGTCTTAATGAAAACACTTCTGTTGTCTCAGTAGACACAGATATGAGAGGCAGAAAGATTTTCATGACTTTTGCGGGTGATTTAACACTTTTCTCTGTCAGAAAAAAAAGACACGTTCTTTTTTCTACTCTACCCTAGACCCCTGATAGACCTATTTGATATACGCTACTACCTGGCAGTTCCATACGATGAATGCAAAAGGAGGAGAAGGTAAGATTCTTTGACATGAGTCCAATCCTTCCTTCCAATGAAGACTCGCCACTAAGCCTTTATGTTGCTATTAATGGGATATATCGGTGTCACAAATTGGAATTACAGTTGAAAATGTTAATCTAAGTGGAGAAAGGCTTTCACGTGGCGTTTTCTCAAAGTGTAGATCTGGCAGTCCCCTTTGTGTGGGTTTGATGGAGATCAGCCCATCGGTGCAGGAGGACCGGAGTCGTTGCACGCTTCCCTGTGAGCATCAGTAAAGCCTCAGGCTGCTTGCTTTGCCTTCATCAGCTACTTGTAGCTTCTGTATTCACTGGGAGTGCTTAAATGGTTGCAAAGATCAGTAATGATGAGAAATTGGACCATGACAATCAGATTTCACAGAAATGCAATTCAGCAGCTGCTGAACTTCAGGCTTTGGCAGTGTGATCTGGGTAGTCCTGATATTTCCTTTTCCCTCTTGATATTTGCAGTACACGGAACTACACTGTTCCTGACCCACCAGGTCTCTTTGATGGACATGTCTGGCCCATGTACTTAAAACACAGGAAAGAAATGGAGGACTGTGGGGTTGATGTTGGTAAGCTCCTGAAATATAAATACTTTGGCATTGTACTTTGGATTTTAAGGAAGACAGTAAATTAATTCAAGGAAACTTTAACTGTAATTATGCAGGGAGCTATTTTTACTCCTAAATTGTAATCTGGGCTGATTTTCTGTCCAGATAAATATATACAGTTTTATAGCTAAGAACTTGTTCCCTTTGTTTCATATCTTATATCCATGTAAGATAAGAGAAAAAGAAAATATAATTTAAAAAACCCCCCACATTCTTTATAACAGGACAAGATATTTTTGTGGGTCATAGTTTTATTTTTTCAGGATGGTTCTGTCTTTCCAATTGAAAACCAAGTTGTGATTTGGGTCAATAGAGCATGAAATATTTTCAAACTAATCTACAGAAATGTTGTTCTGATCGCAGACCTCCAGCCTGACTCTTGTCTCCTTCTTTCAGTTTATTTAGATGGACTGAAGTCTAGAGATGAACTTTACAATCAAGTCTTTGAAGATATTCACAACAAGCTTTTAAATTGCTTGTAGGTAAATACGTCCCTGCTTCTGAGGGGGTGAAGCATGAGGGGCTGACTGCTGGAAACAACCTGCCTTTAAGCTTGGGTAGCTGTACTTTCCCTTCTTGCTTTTCAGGGTCTCGAAGACCTGAAAGACCCATGTACAGAATGATGTAAATAGTACTTAAAAGTCAGAATGAAGGTTTATTTGTGTAAACTCTGTGTACTGTCCTTTGGAAAGCATCTTTTGTATATAATTGAAAAATGAAGATAACTTATTCACAACTCTGTGATGGACAGGATTGTTTTGTTTTTTTTTTTTATTTTCTTATTTTGTATTCCACTGGCTTAAACATCAGTTGAAAATGCCTTTTTATAATGGAACAAGTAGACCTGTGTTAGGAAAACTAACTCTTCTGCTTATGTGCTTCTGCAGATATTAAGTCTTTATGTAATGGCTTGTTTGTAATGTCATCTCTTCAATTCAGTAAAAATCAAATTTAATATCTCTTGCTGTTGAGGTCCTGTTTTACTATGTCAGTCCTTAACTGCAGGAGAAATGGGCACAAAACTCCCCCAAAACACACCAACAGCCCCTCCTATTCCATAGGGCATTTGAAATTTCACCCCCGTGCAGCCTCAAACCTTTTGTGAGCTGCTTCTGCCTTGGTTTAAGTGATCACATGGGCCTGGAAGTTCAGACATCTCAGCCAGGGAGAGATTCGTGGAGGTGAACAGCACTTCAGATATTTTTAAAGTGCTGGTATGGAACCAGTTTTATGTCAGCCCCAGCTTCATGGTGTTTCTCCCTTCACGCTCAAAACAAATTAGCACGTAAAGATACTATGGCCTGTTTCACAGACCACTCGGCTGCTCCCAAGGTGAGAAGTTTGGCTGGAAGCCTATTTCTGCCTTTTGCAATCTAGAAGAGAACGTTATTTGGTCCTAAATTCTCCAGCTAGCTCAGCGTCGAGAGCTGGCAATGGCTGCAGCTGTGAATTTAAAATCCAGAAAGCAAATTGTGGGATTTCTTGGGGACTGGGAGTAGCAGCCTCATATTAAAATTCTGTTACTGGAAGAAACTTTTCAGGGCTTGGTACTGAAAATGCCATCCTAATGCCCGTTTGAAACAGTGTTTAAACACATCCTTGGGGTCCAGGTGCAGTCTGTTTACCAACAGACTTTTCATCAACTCGCTGTGGAGGTGGTGTAAGGAATCTCTGCTGCAGGGAGCACGTACCCCTGTGTAATCTGCCTTCACAATGTGTCCTGGGGAGCTTGCACCTGAGTAGGTTACATCCTTTTAGCAACATCCTGCATTATAAGTGCCTGATAGCATTCTCCAAGTCTAAAATGTAGGTGCAGGAGGTTCTGCTTCTTCAAATGCTCCTGGTAAGTTTGTAGAAAGTCCACAGATTTTTTTTTTTATTCATCCATGTCCTCCATTTCCAGCAAAACTAAGTTAAAGAGCAGCAGCAATAGTTTTACTGATTTTTCTGTTGCCAGGGCTTTTTCTTAGTATTTCAGTGAGATGAAAAAAGCCTGCTCCAAGCAAGATAGCACAGAAGTACTTCAGCAAACACAATTGGAATATTGAAATAAATCATAATGTGGAGCGTAACGTGCTTGAGAAAGGAATGGGCATATTGTTCCTGAAGCAAAATGGAGCGGTAGATCTTTATTTTCCTGCTTCTGTGCTTTGAGAACAGCATTCTGCCCGAGTACGGCACGATTTCTATTCTTTAGCTGGCTTTTAGGCAGAGCCTCCACCCTGAGCCCAGCAGTGACCTTCGCTGGCAGCACGAGTAGCACAACGTGAGCGCTGCGGCACATCGGCTCTGCCCTGCCTGCCCGGGGGGGTCTGTGCTGCCACCAGCCCTGCCCCTGGCAGGGGACCAGAGCAGCTGCCGTGGCTGCAGAACTGAGATTAGAGTTAAGAGTGGAGTCGTTCAGTCGGAAGGGACCTACAACCTGAGCACCTCAGGGCTGACCAAACGTTAAAGCTTGTTCTTAAGAGCGTTGTCCAAATTCTCCTTGAACATGGAGAGGTTTGGGGCATCAACCACCTCTTGAGGATGCCTGTTCTGGTGTTTGACCAACCCTCTTGGTAAAGAAATCGTCCCTAATGTCCAGGCTGAACCTCCCCTGACGCAGCTTTGAGCCATTCCCACACATCCTGTCCCTGGATCCCAGGGAGAAGAGCTCAGCACCTCCCTCTCCACGTCCCCTCCTCAGGAATCACAGAATCAACTTGGTTGGAAAGGACCTTGAAGATCATCTAGTCCAACCATTAACCTCACATTGACCCTTCCCAACTACACCATATCCTTAAGCGCTAAGTCGATCCTACTCTTCAACCCCTCCAGGGATGGGGGCTCCCCCCCTGCCCTGGGCAGCCCATTCCAACGCCCAACAGCCCCTTCTGCAAAGAAATCCTTCCCGACGTCTAGTCTAAACTTTCCCTGGCGCAGCTTGAGGCCATTCCTTCTTGGCCTGGTGCTGGGTCCTTGGCTCAAGAGACTCATCCCCTCTCTCTGCACCCTCCTGTCAGGGAGTTGCAGAGGGCCGGGAGGTCTCCCCTCAGTCTCCTCCAGACTAAACCCCCCCCAGAAGCTGCAGAGAGCAACAAAGTCACCCCTCAGCCTCCTTTTCTCCAAACGAGGCGAACCCAGAGCGAAGACCTCAGCCGGTGGCTAGCTCCAAGCTAATAATAAACTCTCCACACCGCCTGGTAACTAATTGAGCTTAAATCCTGTGGTGAGATAGGTGAGCGCGTCGAGATCTGTCAACCCGCTATCGAAATACACCAGCTAAAGATAGGAAGTGCCATTAAACTGATGTACTAAAGCACATGCGGCGCACCACGCAGAAAAGGTTCACCATGTTAAAGTACAAAACCTCTCACATGGGCCGAGCGTGGTGATCTTCGGGGCACTAAAATAACTTGGCTGTGGTGTCAGCACAGCTCGCTTCAGAAGATTTTTGGGCACGCCTTAATTAGAAACGTTGCGCCAGAAAAGCAGCTGCCACAGATTAGCAAGAAGTCGCCCCAAAACCCACCAAGCCTATTTCAAGGGGTGTTTTAAAACAGCCTGGTGAAACATCCAGAAGTGAGACCAGCAGCAAGTCAGATCCACCACCCTGTCCTCGCGTTACACTGGTATTTTTCCGATTGTCTGGCCAGAAGAGGGATGCTGCAGCCAGAAACGAGACACAAATACTGATGGCATCACCCCACACTTCCACAAGCTATAAAAAGGCATATTTCCTTGTGTGCATCCCCATGCGTGCCTGGAGAGACCCACAAAACTATAATTACACCATTACACGGCCAGGCACTCATCAATGGCAAAGCTGAGGAACGCCTGGGCCAGGGACAGAGTGCTGTGACTTGTCACCGATACCTTGTAAGTCCATTTGAGATCGTTACATGGAGCGTTTCCCGCAGATTAGCTGCAGCTCTGCTCGCTGAAAAAAAAAAAAAAAAAAAAAGCAAAAGCAGCCCCAGCTCCCCAGTGGGATCTGGCACACAATTTCCATCTGGGTTTCCCCCATGTTATCAGATAAGCTGCACGAAACCGTTTTGCTTTCACGAAGACATATAAGGGAAAAGACATCGCGCTCTCGCTTCAGGCCAGCCTCTAGGAAGCAAAAATCGAAGCCTAAAAAAGGCTCTTTGATATCCTCTGCCCACAGAGAATATAAAATGCCCCAGGGTGGCGTTAGCTCCGGTTGCAAACAGGGGAACTGAGGCAGAACATCCCAGTATATCACATCGCAGAAATTTCCTGGGGGACCAGCACACCCCCTCATTTCTGAGCACCATGGTGGTTCCCGCAGTGTTTAGTATTAGCTGAGTTCCTCCAGCATTTATCGCCTGGACACTTTCTCCCCAGTAAATCCTCCTCCACGGTGAGTGGTATTTTCCCCCTTCTTTGCAGCCTCCTGAACTCGTGCCAGTACTCTGCAATTTAAAACCCTCTAAAGCAGGTCACCCCGAGCACAGCGGCAACAAACCCACCCCAAATTCTGCTTTAAAAAAAAAATATTTTAGTGTTGTCCAGCTTGTGCATCTACCAGGATGAGAACTCCTGCTACCGGGCGGCTGGGGAGGAGACGGCCACGCTGGCCAGGCTGAATGGCCAGTGACTTCCAAGAGCTTTTCTGGAGTGTGAAACAGAAACCCGCGGCACGACGGGCATCCGGGAAGCCTTAGCACTATGTGAACTTTGCACAGCTCGGGAACAACTGCTGCTATAGGATTTCCATACATCCTTTCACACGCCGGCCCTGGTGATGAATCAGCTCTGCGAGAGCGGATCAAATGCCCGAGACTCCAGCTGAATCTGCACCCCAAAGCCTCACCCCGAACCCCAGCCCCTAGGAGCAGGACAGCAGCTCCAAGCCCCCCAACCTGGCTCTGGTGTCCCCCACCATGGCT